TCTTTGCATTCGAACAGACTTATAAAATATACTGAAAACTCTTCTTTCATTCCGTTAATTAATAAATAACTATCTAGAATTGTGACTCAAGAGGCATAATTTATTTTCTAGATATACGGTTATTTATTGATTGACAGGTGCAAGAAAAGAATTTTCTATATTTTTTTATATTTTACAAGTCTGTTTTACCAAGTGCAAAACATTATTTTATTGAAAACATTTTTATTTCAATGTGTCTTGCAAGAATTTTCACTAATTCGCAAATTTTTTGACAAAATCAAAGAACACAAATATCATGAATCGCGTATAGTCCGATGCTAGCTTAAATCAATCAATTCTCTGCATTTTTCCATCTATCTCGAAAAAACACATAATATTATACAAATACTATTAAATTCAATTTAAAATTTATAAAATCATAAGAAATCATGCATGAAACTTATTGATTTTAAAAATTGACTCGCAACGCACGCCATTACAAATTTCGTAGCCGCGATTTGCCGCGATCGAGTTGGTCGTGCCATCTGACAACGCATTTGCGAGTGACATTAGTCGGTACGTGAACCGACTATCGCCGGAAAGACTCGAGTCCAGCCGAATTTCCTCGCCGTGATATTAGCCACAACAAAAAATTTGTAGTGGTCGTGCAAAAAGTTTTTGGAGCTACGTATTTTTCGCGTTCTTTCTCTCCGTGCGACAAGGTGCTGGTCATCGGCCACATCGTCGTTTCGTCCAGGATTCGCCGGTCCGTCGACGACACGAAGTAAGGGAAGCGCGCACGCACGCACGGCCGTGTAATCCTTACCTTGGCGGCATCGCGCTTTCGATCCCGCCTGCCGTGTTTGCGGGCCGTGTGTTGTGTCGGAGTCGCGCGTGTTTCTTTCCATGGGAGACGGTCCGACGAATGCACGCGTGCGATGTTGTGACGCAGCGCGTAGTCTAATGCGAAATCGTAAATAATTTGCTATCCCGTTACGGCGCACGGCCGTATGCGTCAATTTGTCTGTCGCGAGATGATACGCTCCGCTTCGCATCGAAGGCTCGACCGAATCGCGTCATTGCGTCTCGCTCGTCGTGGCATCGTCCTCGGCATTCTTCGTGGCTTAACCTACAAAGGGTCTTGGCGCAAGAACTCTCGTTCCCGCGCTACCGAGAACTTGGTTTTTTTCGTCAAAGCTCGACGTTTATCGCGCGACCCGATTGATACAAGTTTTCTCGCGAGCAACGTTATACATTTTTTATTTACGACGGTCCGCGATCGCGCGGTCGCGTGACCTTATTAGCCTTTCGTTTATTTCGCTTTCTTTGATCCCCGTTCCATGTATGCGAACGCGGCTTAGGCAGTTCAGACTTGTTTGCCGAGTTAATTAATATCTCATTGTAATATTGCTTCCAGACTGCACAATCACGCAAGAGTTATAGGGCAACTCCAGTATTCACAATGGCGGGAGAGCAGCAGCAGTTTTTCTTAAATGGAACGACTTCCAATCGAATATGGTATCATCGTTCAAACATCTGCGAGATGAGAAAAGCTTCACGGATGTGACATTGGCTTGCGATGGTCAAACTTGCAAAGCGCATAAGATGGTTTTGTCTGCCTGTAGTCCTTATTTTAAATCCTTATTAGAGGTATGCTTCTAATATTACTAATCTAATAGATCTAATATCAGTAATGATCGATGAACTTTGTAATTAAATGAATTCTCTCCTTAATGTGTTATAGGAAAATCCGTCCAAACATCCAATTATAATTTTAAAGGACGTTGCATACAGTCATCTACAAGCTATTCTAGAATTTATGTATGCGGGTGAAGTAAATGTTTCACAAGATCAGCTGCCAGCATTTCTCAAAACAGCAGACCGGCTTAAAGTTAAAGGACTAGCTGAAGCTCCTGGTGCCATTAAAAGAGAAGGTTAAAGGTGCACGTAATTACGGTATGCCTTAACATTTTATTTTTTTTTAGTTTTTTTGGAAGAATTTCAAAATTAACAACAATTTCATGATATTGATTTATTAGGGAAGATATGGTTTTGCTTTTGGTCTACTATGTTCCAACTGTATTAAAAGTAATGGCATATAATTAATGGCAAAAAAATTATTATTGAATTTATATAAATTTAAAGAAAGATTATTGGTATTAAAATTCAATCTAAACAGAAAATATCTACATTATTCGGTCTTATGTTTACTTCTACTTAATTGGATTTTAATTGACGAATTTGATGAAAACTTTTATCATATAGTTTTCTTACTTCAAATTATTCTATTATACTTTATTATAAAGTAGATTTTTTTCATAATTATATGATTAGTAATTTAATTTATTAATACTATGTATTTATACATTTCATGAGAGAAAACGAGAAATTAACTAATAAATGCGGCAACACTTCTTCAGTAATATTATTGATTTCAAAGTTACATTTATATTGCTCGAGAGTTCATTGTTCGGTTATTGATTGTGCAAATCTATTTATATTCTTGGGACAAATAACATATATACGAACTCGATTTACCTGTGACTGTCATATGTGTGTTGTGAACGTACAAAAGAATTAACAAATTTTATAAATAAAATTCTACAAAAATATTTTAAACATTTTTTATAGTATAAGAATTGTTTATCATATTTAAAAACACAAATGTAACAAAAATGTGAATTTTATTTTGCAGATATTTGAAAAGTGTGTGGACTGAAAAAAAAACAGTGTAATAATGTAAAGTGATCGAATAAACACATACCACACAACATAAACACGCAACACAACATACATTATAAATATATAGACATATGTAAAAAAAATTAAAACACTGCGTGTGCACAACTCAGTGTCCTTTGGTTCATGACTTGGATCAACACGCGGTGATGATGTAAAATAAATGCCTTTTTCTTAATCTCAGTTAATGTTAACGGTTGTACTGATAGTATGTACACATACTTACAAGTAGAGACAAGATGTTGATGTTTGTCTTGAACCCATTACGCCATATTGTGGCAACAATAACAATATTGATTATTTTTTTAAAACAAATCGCGAGGTGCGAATAAGTGGGTCGCGATAGTTTATGATGCATGCTGACCGGGACAGTCTTGGTGGATCAAATTGGAAATGTTGACATTTGTTACAACACCCGTTTTTTCAAGCCGATCTACCTGACTTATAGCACTCCTCTATCGATTCCATTTGGTAGATCTATTCACGAAGTAGCGTTACTTCTCTCGCTTGTCTTTGTTGTGCACCATCTAATTTATATTCAGTCGTACGTTGAAATATGAAAGTCTCATGTCTTTTTGATAGGTATCTATTATTTTCATTATTTGTTTCTGCGAGTTATTTTATGGATGTTATTATTATACAGAGTATTTCATTAATGACGCACTTTTCGTAGATAGATAGAGCAAGTTATATTGAAAGGTAATTATTATTTTGCAATTTTCGCAATGGTTAATGAGATATTAACTATAGCATTCACGAATATTTCCGATTGATTTTCATTTTTGGAAATTTCTTAGAATGAAAATAATTAAGTTATACATTTCATTTTTTGAAAATTGAAAATAATTAAGTTATATATTTCATTTTTTTCCCAAAATGAAGATATTTGTTTAAAAAAGTTGAAAGTATGTTTTATACTACAATTTTTAAAGATATTTTGAACTATTTTAAATAGATCAAAATGTGATTTAAAACCAGAGACTTATGTGTATAAGGCATCTTTTTGTAGTGTATATTGTAAAGTTAATTTACAAAAAACGAATGAAGATGCGTTCATATAAAGAGATAACTCTGTATTATATGGATATTTACACCATCTATTTTATACATTAATATCTTATTAATTATTACGAAAATTGCAAAATAATAGAGGACTCTTTTATTCAATATAATCGTCTCTACTTGCTCATGAAAAATACTTCACAAGTTATGGGACACTTTTTATATCGAGATTATTATATTATCAAGAGACATTTAGAAAATCGATCCTACAGGGCATTAAAGATCTGATCTCGCGCTAGATTTATATATGAATGCTAATTGGATAACAACAAAAAAGAAAGTATTTGCATCCAATCGGGGAGTTCTGCTATCGTGGATAGATTTGCAAAATCCCCGACAAATCATTTAAAGAATATCAAATCAAGTTTACTGGAAGTAGTAACATGCACGTTTACATCATTGATCATTGAGGCAAGTTCTCTTTCGTCAATTTTACGGTATCGAAACATTATTCCTTCCGTTCGTGCGATATATGAAAAAAGAAAGAGAAAAGAAATACGAAATACGAAAGGAATTTTAATACCGTAATCAATCCAGTACAAGTTACCTCTTCTAGTGATCATGATTTTTACTTAACCAAATACTGCCAGTATTTGTACCGGCGTATTCACAATATTACCTATATAGACCAAATTTATTTATGATAATAATATATTAAGGGTTGAATGTCTTAAATTGAGGGAAGGTTATTGTAATATAAGCGAAGTAAATTTTTGTAAAGTCGGAGCGCACAGTTCCTTTTCCCTCCCAAACCAGGACGCTCGAAAAAGTTTAAGAAGAAAGTCAGGAAAATATTATCGAGTCAAGGATATAAAAATTTAGTATAGATTTACCACAATCTAATCACAAGCATTTTAATTATTCCAATTTTTCAGGATTTGATTATTTTTGAAGTTTACAACAAAATAAAATACATTCATCATCAATTGTACGTAACGCTATGTTAGTCCATGCTCGTAATTCCTGACTTTGCTGTTACTGTTTCTTGTAATTACACATTGAGAATTTCTCCAGCGTTTCGTGAGTTTTCCTTGCGAGGTAATTATCCTTGTGCCTAATATGAATTTATTCCAACTTTTACTGGGATTATATACCGAATTAGCACGAGTGAACTTTTATGGACACTGAATGCCGACTTAGACTCGTACACATTCACGTATCGAACGTCATTCATATACCGCAGAATATTAGCATCATTTCCTACCGATTTTGCTTCGGATGTTTCTGTGAATTAAATGTGAAACCATTCTGAGATCGCACTTACAATTGTAAGAATGGTCCATTAAAGAAAACCCGCCATACATAAGAATATTTTAAATATTTTAAATATATAAGGATATTTTAAATATTTTAAATATATGAATTAAATATTAATTATATATTATATATTTAATTATATATTAAATATTTAAATATATATATTTTAAATATATTACGATAAAGCCCAAATATGGAACTTGACTTTGTATCAAAGTAAATGGCTTCCATATAAATTTCGGCGATATCTGATGATAATAAGTTCTGATAATGGGACCATTCTCATACGAGTGAAATTTTTAACATAAAAATAGTTTGCAAATATTTGGCATCTTCAATCGAAGATTCAATTATTTAAACTTTTTTATATATTGGAAGCTTCATCATTTCGCAGTCATCCGACAGCAATATCGCGCAATAGATATCCAACAGTTCAGTTTCAATATTTAAGGCAGTGTTAAAAGCGTTGAAATGGATGGGTTCAGTTCCTACAATGATATGTTTGCCGGGCATTTGGTGGCTGAATGTGAATAGTAGTATCGTGTACATTTGCTCTATGCTGTAAATTTGGAATACAATTATTGTAGAATAGAAATCTCGTATAAAAGCGACCGTTCGCACTAAATTCACGATTACGTCATATAGATCTTTTTTTCGTTATATTTCTTGCTCCATTTCCGACTTCCATATTGCATTTTCATATTCATTGATGCTGAAATTGACAATTCCAAATCGACTGACTTGCAAAAATTATCGTGATGAATTTCTCTTCCCTCCCTTTTTCCTTTTTCCATTTCGTTATCTCTGCTATTCATTCTAGCCGAAATTTGAAACCCTCCTTATTAATGTTATTTTTGCTATTATATGACTCGATGATGATTATGATATGATGATGTTGAGATATAAAATAAATTGTGTAAATATGCCAGCTTTTGGCATAATTATCTTTATTGCTCCTTTTCTTATTTATCCTTTTTTATAGATCTTTATCCCTGATTATCTTTCTTAAAACATTTAATATGTTAACTGCTGTTCTAATAAATATTGAATATAGAATATATATCTCAAAATTATATTTTTTATTGTATATAATAAGTCATTTCATAAGTCATTGCATAAAACACTGTATGATATATTTATAATTGTATAAGCAGAATATAATAGAGTATAAAAATATGTATATGTGATCAATTCACATTTAAAAAAATTGAATTACATACAATATTTCGCATAAGATATTATATGAGGTAATAGCAATTATATACAGAGTCTTTTTGATTTTCTGACATACTTATTTCTTTGTTATCGTAAATGCGTCGAATAAAAATAATTTAATCGGTGTTACGTGTTTAAATGTGTTGCACCTCGTCTTTGCTAATTTTTCAGGATATTTTCATTCAGGATATTTATATTTCAGTTTTGCTCATTTTTCAGGTGGATCTGTGAAAGCATAAAATATTAAGAAATAGTTGAAAGATAATACTCAGTATAAGTAATATTTAATAACAAATAATATTTATTCTTACGTGGTGTTGCGAAATTAAAGACTGGATATCTTGGTGCATAGGGTTCGTTGGCACCATGCACGTAATTAGAATCGTCTTCATCTTTGATGCTGTCGGCTCTTTGCATACATTCTTCATATGATGGCGGCGCTATAAATAGAGAAATAATTTTCTTTTAATTTTTTAGAAAGTTTTTATGATGTAAATCGATTGTAAATCGGATTCTTAAGTAAATCTTGCAAAAATTATATTTTGATTTCTTAATTCTGTAACACATAAATAATTTTATATGAATCTACTTATTGCATTTTAAATGTAATTAAAATAATAAGATTGCTACACAATTCTATGATATACACATATGCTCATCTTTCAGATTTAATATTAGATTTTTAAGATGATTGTTGTTACAAAAATACAAGAACACTTACGTATGTCCCATGGGTTAGTTGAAGTGCTAGGTTGATTCGGAGAGGCAAAACCTATCGCTTGAGAGTAGGGCACATTTGGTGGTGCATAGTCTGGAGACGTCGGCATTGGCGGTGGTGGATCATCATATTCCATTACAGGAGCTGTAGGCTGTTGCACGGTTTGCATATAGGATGCGGATGAAATAGTAGAACGTAATGGAATTGTTCCAATTAAAATCGGATAAATTTTGGTGATATTGCAATGCCTGTTACCAAAATTGAATAAATTTCTTAATAAATCATTAATTAATATAGTTTAATTATGAATTTATATAATTGTAGAGCATTTTATGCAATTAATTACAAAACGATTGAACGAATTGAAAATTTTAAAATTTTTATAACAGAACTATTGTTTATAACGTGTATACGATTATATGAATGTGAATTACATTGTATTTTATTTTATTATCGTGTTTTGGAAAAATGCATACATACATTCCAGAGACGTGGATTGTGATACGTAAGGCATATTTTAGATCTATTATACTGCAATATTCCAATTGAGAGGGTGGTATTGGCGGAACTTGTAATCGTGAGATAATATCGGCTTGTTGACCGAATGGTCCCATACTTTGTTCGGATTTTACAATTGCTTTCTCTGTTTTAGTCGTATGATACGGTAATTTTGCATGAAATTCTAAAGACTTTATGAATAAAAATAAAAAAAGATTATAATTACTATATAGATTATAATTACTATTAATTACTATTTATTACTGTATTAATAGAAATAACTTGATAAGCTTGTTACACTTACCCGTTCCAATTTAACGCAGATCTTTGTCACATTGATACTGCTGGCATTATTGAAGTTGACTATAGTCTCTATCGATTGTCCCGGAACAAACCCTGTAGTCGGTATCTTGATGCGTATCTTCATTGAGTTCATGTTGAGACAGCAGAAACAGCAAAAATTTTCGTTTATTTCATCGTCTACACCGATCTAAATCAGATTATTCGATTTTAGTGATTTCAGTCACCGGAAACAAGTTGGCTTGTGTATCTTTAATTTAAAGTTTAATATTAACTTTATGTAATATTGTAGCAAAAAATGCAAGTCTTCGCACGGTAATTTTACTTACACATTGTTGACTGTGAGCGTTCAAGTCGTAAGACGAAACTACGGTAAACGCAATTTTGCTTTCATGATCGAATCTCCATGGTCTATCGATAACGGCTTTCATCGTGTATCTGATGTGACCGTGTGGTTGTTCGAAGCTGCATGGTATATTATATGGTAATGAGAAATTAAAAGTATTTATGAAATCCCGCTGGCATCCGCACTTCCCCATTGCCTAAAATTCATGATGACCGTCTATTTAATAATGAAAGTTCCTGAATCGATGAATCACTGAATCGATTTCAGTGATTAATAGTCAATTCAACAATTATTTATTTTATTATAATGTATTCTTTAAGGTATCACTAATTTATTGATAATATATATTAAATTATATTTATAAATTATAAATTAAATTATATTAATTATATTAATTATTTATATTAATTATATATTTATTATATATTTAATTTTTTGATAATATATATTAAATATTAATATATATATTATATATTAAATATTACCTGTATTTCCTAATAGGTAATAAGTTAGATTAAAATACTGTTCGCTTGCTCGGAAATGATCAATTTCGGTATGATCATGTCCTTGGGAATCCTTAGTAGAGCTTGTTCTTTCCCAGCTAACATTAGCTTCTCCCTTAATCGATAATTTCAGTGCTACGATCAGAAATATCGAAATATATTCATTTTTTACCTATATTTTTAATTAAAAATATAATACGTTAAAAAACAATAAATTTTCTCTCTCTCTCTCTCTC